CCGACTCTTTACAACAACATTCTTTCTAACGCATCGACTTTTTACGACACTTTTTCTGATACACCGACTCTTTATAACATTCTTTCTGACATACCGACTATTTACAACAATCTTTCTGATATACCGACTCCTTACAACACTATTTCTGACACACCGACTCTTTACAACAACATTCTTTTTGACACACCGACTTTTTACAACTCTATTTCTGACACACCAACTCTTTACAACATTCTTTCTGACACACCGACTCTTTACAACATTCTTTCTGACACACCGACTCTTTACAACATTCTTTCTGACACACCGACTCTTTACAACATTCTTTCTGACACACCGACTCTTTACAACATTCTTTCTGACACACCGACTCTTTACAACATTCTTTCTGACACACCGACTCTTTACAACAGTCTTTCTGACACATCGACTCATTACAATATTCTTTCTGACATACCAACAACTTTCTTACGACTCTTACGACTAACTACTTCTTTAGGTCTGACTTTCGACTGACTTATACTACTGACCTGCCCGCTTCCTTGTACCCATATTTTAACCTTACTATCTTCTTTCGCAGGCTGTTCTTCTAACACAAACTCTCTCCCTCGATCACGTATTTTCCCAGCAACCTCTCCCTCGATGGGCCAGCTAGATCAAACACTCATTCTCACTGTTATTCTTAAATTTATGCTCGTTTCTAGCACTCGACTCTGTCATAAATACTCCTCACAATCGATCCTCTTACACGTGGTCACTTGCGTCCCACACTCCAAATACTCTCAACATTCTTTCAAGGCTAACTCGTTCCAGGAATAAAGGAAAAAGCAGAGGAAGAAAGCGAAAAGGGGGAAAGAGAGAGGGTCCACAAGAAGCTGTACTTCTTGGCATTGGCGATTGTGAACACGGGCCGATATTAAAATGGCGGCAAAAATTCTAGCTTGTAGAAGACGCGGATTCACGTTCGTCAGAATTAAAGTATAGCGTTCGCAGCCGCGATCGACGACGTGGAAAAATTCAGCTCTGCTCTCCTCGCCTCTCTCCGTGCCGATATTACGCCACGGCCTCGTAATCCAGCGTATTGACGCCTCGGAACGCGCGCAGTTTCGCCTTATTAAATTTTAAGACCGCTTCCGGTGCAGGAATATCTGATTTCCCCGCGTTTTACGATATCGTCCGCCGTGAATGCCCGCGTTCCTCGCGATGGACGGGATTTTACGGCGCCGGAGGACCACGACGAAGACTGTGATAATGATGACAATGCGATATTAAGTTGTCGATAGCGTAATTCGAGATTGCGCTTTCGCGACAGAAGTGAGAGAGTGAATTGAACGGTGATTTTACAACCGCGATGGAAGTCCAACGAGATTGTAACTTGTGGCGTCGCGCAGGTGAAGAAGGAAGCGTCAGGAAGCGTGGTTCGCTTTGACGACGAAATTTAGATCCTATTGCTTAATAATTAATTTTACAGGATAAAATTGAAATGGATGAATTTCTCTATTATCGGTTATAATAAGGTGGTAATAAAATTAGTTGTATTTTAAAAATGAGGGTGACTATGAAACCTCGAAGAATATTATCTTGAGAAATAAATAGCTTTTGGAGGGAATATTAACAGTCGCCATTTAATCAGATTCTAAAGATGGATGTTAATTAATATATCAAATTTACAATTAGCCAACGATGCGTGGAATAACGAAGTAAAATAATTCTACGTCTTAATTTGCATACGATTTCTTATTTACCGCTTTAGAAATATCGTCGATCTTATGGCAGAAAGGCTTCGAATTACTATTTTCCTGTAACGAAAAATTCGCCGAGTGCAAAGGGTTAAAATGTAGCGACCATCATTCTCACCCTCGCCACCAGGTGGATTCCTCCTTCGAGGACTTTTTCGCAAGTCTTCGGAAAACCTCTAAATCCAATATATATATAACTTCACGACCTTTCAATAGTATCCCAGTGTCTAAGGCAGGGCCTGCTAGGGTAGTCTTACTGATGAGGCCCTGCTAGCAGGCCCGGGACGAAACGCATCCCTTCCTTTTCCTATCGTCTCTTCTAACTACATCACCACCGAGGGATACCTGCAACTTGTTGACTTCTAAATGATGGAGGGGGAGGATCCCCACAAAAAATTTATTAAATATTTATCGTTTTACAGAAGAAATTATGGATAGAAATGAATACCAATATCTTCCACGTTTTTTAACGATTGACAAATTAATATTTAAATATTGACAACAATTCTAAATAAACTATTCTTCTCTTTATGATTGAAAATTCTTTTCTCTGTCTATCACTCTTATTAACTCATATTTACATTAGATTCCACTCGCACATGTTATATTTACATCATACCAAATAACTTTCATCTATTCTACCTCAATACCATTCACACATATAAAATCAACACTCACTCTCTCATAAAACCAACACTCACAGAAATCGTCTTTGACGAGCACCTTTTTATATAATTAACACTAGATCTACCGATGTAGTTAAAATGACTGGTTTCAGAATTTTCTTCTTTGCAATTGTCAAGAGCGTATATTTATTTTTATAAAGATTGGTGTTCACTCATATTATAATAATACTTTATTAACCGACAGAAGTCCTTTGGTATACAGTAAAAATAATGAAATGAAATATACAGTAATAACGTAGTAGTATAGTAGTACAGAAAGTAATGGAATAAGAAATAATTAAAGAAAAGGAGAAGAAGAAAATTAATTAATTAATTCACTAAAATTAGTATTATCTATACCCGATATGTCTAGGTGTCTATTAAAAATCGATAGTTCTAGTGTTAAAAGGGACGAGAATATTTTAGCTTCGAATCTTAGGTGATTCATCCTGAGTAATAAATAATAATTAGCTTTAGGAGCTAATTAGAGATATTAATTAGGGAAATAATTATTTGAAATAATTAGGAGCTTCTAGAGACATTTGAAATACGATATTCATGACGTCCTATTCATTAGCCTGTATTATCAATTTTATGTCTTTAAATATCCTCTGTACATTCGAAGCAATAGAAAATGAAATTCTAAGAATTACTTTTAACCTGTGCAAAGATATATTATTATTTATTATTAAAAAAAAAGGAACGTCTGAAAATTTATAAAATTCTCTCTTTGCAAAATCGTGGAAAATTAATGCTCTCCTAAAACTCTGCGACATTCGTTTAGAAATAGGAAGAAAAAAGTGCCAGGCACTCTGGACGAGGATTCGCAAATCCCCGAATGAACGATTCGAACAGATGAATAGCATCGATTCCGAGGAAAAATCAATTTCTCAAAGGCGAGCGGGGGCCCAAAGCCGTTTTCCCGTCTGAAAGGTCGAAAATGGATTTGCAAGTCGCGAAAAGGGTTACGGTTGATCGGACTCGTTACGAGCCAGCAGGTTGGAGAGGGTGAAACTAATTCTGTCGCTGAACGCAAGGAAGCAATCCGGGATTTTCGCCGGGCGAAATGATTCGTTTCTTTGATGTAGCGTGCTGCGGCGAGCGTTCAATGGCCGGCGCAATTGCATTCGCGTGGAAATAGTCGACAAGCGATATTGGTCGTTTCAGAGAGCATACCGCATCGGATCGAATTTCTCTCTTCTCCATTAACCCCGTGCACGGCCGTGGGGGTTTCGCCGACCATCGCCGGCCATCGCGCATCTGCCCGTGCGGACCGCGATTACCTTTTCACCTGTAAAACCGATAAGGAATTGTCCTGACGTTCCATCGCCATCCCGCCCACCGTTACTGGCACTGGTCGATCGTTCGGGATCGATGGTTTTCGGAAAAATTGGAAATATCGGGCAAGCTTTTTTATTTTACCGTTATTGTCATCAGGGTTTTCGAAATTTGTCGATTAACAAGGAATTGCTCTGATCTTCCATCGTGATTCCGTAGAGGACTACTGGCCCTTTTGGGAAGAATGGGAATTCGAATAAATTGGGAATCGT